GTTACCTTTTCTCTCTAACCTTTCAGATCTCTTACTTCAAATTAAAAAAAATAAACAAGGAACATCCAAGGCAACAGCTTGCTCTTTTTTTCATGAAGGGGGAAGACATTGTTGGTGAAATTCTCATGCATGAGAGTGAATAGATATCATTGCTCCCTTTAATCCAAAGGAGAACGAGGTAGAATGCTGTAGAATTCTCTCTCCAGCCATCTGCAACCCACTTAGCTTTCTTCTAGTCTGACCTCGTGACTCAATTCTTACTAGGCTGCATGGATAGCTAAGGAGGCTGTAGACAGCAGCAAATATGGGTGCAGTGCAAACAAGACTTCTGGGAGTTTAAGACAGTAGCTTTTCACTCTTTAATAAAAGCACGCCTCCGCTTATAAAAATGAGGAAACTTGTTATCAGGGGCTTTTACAGAAATCTTGCAGCCATCCTAGTCTCGCCTTACCTCCGTTAGAAAGATTCCAGCCACCTTGTGATGCAAGGGGCAGTTGGTAGGATCAGGATTGGTTCCAACCAACCCAGCTTTGCATTATTTTTTTTTTTCATGGTCATTTTAAACTGACAGGTGCAGTTGCTTATACCAGTTGCTCAGTGCATCTGATCCATAGCTTTCAGGACTCAAATTCTTCTGAAACTGAAGTCCCCCCCCTTTTTTTTTTATCCTTCATTCCTTCCAGAATATGTTCTTGGAAAAGATATCTAAATGAGATCATCCATGAGCTATGTAAACAAAGACATCTCATGGAAATATAAATGGCCATCTGGGAATTTCACAGAAAATCCAGACTATGAAATCGTTAAAATAATGCTGCCTTCCTGCTTCTCCAACCTGTTGTTTCCCCCCAGACCCAGCAAGATCTAATTGTAAGTCCCGATCTCCCTGGGCATAAAATTAAAAGCGTGAGGTTTTGCTTTCTCAGGGTGCCAGGTTTGCACAGCGGATTTTAGGAGCTTAGGCGGTCCTGATAAAAGCAATTTTTTCGTTTTAGTTTTGCTGTAGTAACGCTGGCTATGGTCACACCTGCCAGCCATGCAGCCTTTGCTGAGGACCAACAGCTCATTCCCATTGCAAAAACATTTTTCCTGAAAATAAAGCCTTGCACAGCCAGAAGTTTTTGTTTTGTTAACTGCCCCCCTAAGAGTTAACTTGCTCTGAGGCTAGCAATTTACAATGCTGTTAACAGGAATTATGTCTGAACTCCTAGGCATCCACGTAGAGTTTATCTATAAATCTACCATCTTGCTTCAGGCCTCTAATTTATTTCTCCAAGGTAATAAATTCTTCAGGAACAGGCACCCAAGAATATTTTAAAACCCGCAATACTTTAATTCTCCTTTGTTAGTTATAATCTCTTTCTCTCAAACAGATGGGCACATACTTACATTGTGAGATTGAAAAGCATAGAAAATGGCACAAAGACATCATTCAGGCTTGTCATATGGAAAGCAGATGATTACTCTTTCAAAATAGTTTTATTAAGATTGTACAACTTAGTCCTGGGTTGTTGATAGCTGGTGTTCTTATTTAAAAATATATGTAATTTATGAGCACTCACATCAGGATAAATACGTAAGCCTTTAGGGCACCTCAAAAAAAATGATGGTTTCAAAGCCTACTGAGATAAAGGGAGGCTATAAATCAACTCAACTCAATAAATCATTTGATTTGTACATGATAAAAGGAAAAAGCAGGGAAGAGGAAAGCGGATATTAGAGCCACAGTTTCATCTCTGTCCAGGAAATAGCACATAGTGGACAAAGCTAAACTTGATATGATCACATCAAGTTTTCTTTGTTTAGGTACAGAAGTAGATTTCAATGACTTGATTAAATGCTGCCCCTGAAAAGCAAAATCGGATGCGTACAGTTTAGCAGGCTCCTGTTGCACGCATCCACATACACAACAGGAAAATCCTTGTATGAGAACATCCTTCATGGAATCCAGTAGATGATTGTAGTGTTTTATCAAGACACGGGGATCAATAACAGCAGAAGATTGGCAGAGGCAAAGAAACGCAGGAACTCAAAACTGCATCCATGAATTTTAGGAATGCTCCCTCTTTGCGTTCAGGGGAACTGGAGTCCAAGCAAAGAATTAGGCAGGGAATGAATGGGGGAAATCTTAGAGCTGGAGAAAGATTCCTTGATCTTACTCAGGGGAAGAGGTTTTGAGCAAGCCCATTCCAAATAGTTGGCAAAGAAAGTCTCCAGCAAGGTATGTTCTTCTAGGGATTGGGTTCTTGTGCCAAACTGCTGTCTTAATGTTCAACCTCAAACTGCAGCCCTAGAACTTTGCACTCTTAGATCAAGACAGAACTATTTGCTCTTGTCTGTGAAGGTGTCAATTTAAAAGCGATCAGTTTAGGCTGGGTTATCTCTCCCCCCATTCCTCTTAACCAGGCCATACCAAAAGCTTTTGTTATTCTGGAGTTGGGTCAGTCTGGGTTCCTTTTAGAGCACTTTAGGTATCACGTGTGTTGATTTTGCTCGGAACAGCCTGTGCTTTTCGCTGGTACAGCATCCGCTGTATGTCTATTCAGGATATTACAAAAATTATACTTGGCGTAGAAACAATATTCCCCTTTTTAAAATAAGAGTCAATTGTGCTGTGCTACCCAAAAACCAAACTCTTTAGAGACCATAGCCTTTCAAGTGACACAGAAACCAAGAAATTGTTGGACTCAGAAAGTGCCAGGAAGAGTACTGTGTGTGTATATTTAACCTTTAAAGACGCAGACAGGAGCTTTGAAAGCCAAAATTGGCCTTTCAGACCTGGAACCCACGCCCAACACCCTGGTGGATTGCTAGCCCTTCCCAAAGATGGATCAGGACTGGGGGTTTTTTGGAAGCCAGCAGCCAACCTGAATTCTCACCTCAAATGTTGGAGGAGTAGCAAAAATGTTCACCCCCACGAGGTCACTTTCACTTGGAAGCTGAAAGTTGTTCTTCGTCTTTTGCAAAAACACTTTTGCACGATGGCTGCCCCGTGGAAGGTCACCTTTACCCGCTTCAGTTTCTACAGCGCTGTGGTCTTTCTGAGGATCAAGCTGGTTCCATCCCATTTCCACCTGGGCTTTGCAAATATTTTGGTAAGAAATGCATGCAAAAGAAACACCACTACCTCCGCCCCTGAGAGAATGTGTTTAAAAATGTATATAATCAGAGAGCTGCATGCCCCAATATTATGCTTTTTCTCATGCATGCTTTGATCAGAGAACTACAATACGACGTTAAGAGAAACGGGTTGTAGTTTGAATATTGGCGTGGAAACGAATGGACACAATCCCCCCCCCCCTTCATTGCTACTTGTGAAGGGCACAAGTCAATTTGTGGTTACTCAGGACCTAATTGAATTAGTTACCTAAACGGAGGAAAACAAATTGGATGAAATTCAGAGCTTGCCTGTGGCTAACCTGCTCCTTGTCTTAGTTCTCCAAAGAAAAATCATATTTCTTCCTGAAAACTACAGGGTTCTCCTTCTTTAATGTAGAAGCCCTTTGCTTTCCCTTCAAATAACCACCCACTTCAAAAACCTATTCGTTTTTTTCTTTATTATGATACACATATATTATTATTATTTCTGGTTACTCCTCAGGATGTTGAATTTCTTTTCAATCTCTTGGATGGTCCTTTTGAGCTGATGTTATTGTTGGGCTTGGAGAGAGGGGACCATGGGCTGTTTTGGGGCTGTGGATTACCCCTCTCCCCATCATTTTGCTGCCTTTCCACCTGTTTCACACTTCCTGGTCTGAAAAAGCCATCACCACTCTCCATGGAGTTGACATGAAGTGGGGCAAGCTGTTGGGTCCTGCAGGCTTGCCAGAAAGAAGGTTGAACAAAGCAAGGCAGATACCTTCTAACTGAGGAAAGGGCAAAAATCTTGAGATGAGGGCAAAATACTCACCCAGGAGAATTTCACCCAAACATAGTTTTCCTCTGATTCTTTTTAAAGTCCTTCCTTCCTTCCT